CATCTATCGGAATAAATATCAACTATTCTCGTTGATTTTTAATTATTCCATTAATTATAACGAGAATAGTTGATATTTATTCCGATAGATGGCGCAAGCTATCAGCAACTTTCAGTTGAACGATAAGGAGATGCCTTTTTCTTAATATAAATATGTGTGTGTCATATAACTTCTAAGGCAGTCCATGTTGGTATAGCAAGGTAGACTACATAGATTATTACGACGACCAAAATGGATTGAAAATTATTTGCCGTAAGAGGAGAAAGAGAGAGTCGGATTTTTCCTAGGAACAGAGGTCAAGTCTTAGCTGGTTGTTTCTAATGACGATATTTGCAGTTGAGAAAGAAGTCTGGTCATTTTAGGAACAGAGGTCTTGACTTGGCTGTTTTTCCCTTATGATGATACTAGCCGAATGACCCGGGCAACGCCCGTGTTTTACCCGATTGAATGTTTTGATTCAAATACTATTTGTTACAATTATAATTTGGCGCCTTAAATAAATGCATATGTTAGTTAATAATTATAGCCCATGTGCTTTATCTGTCTATGTACTGTTGGCTTCCGTAGGCGTCTCTTACTGGGAAAAAGAAAGAGAGGATTCCATTTAGTTATTAACTAATATATGCATTTATTTAAGGAGCGACCCGCTCCAACACATTAGTTACAAAAACGAAAAAGCGAGTGGGAGGGGGGGGGGGGGGGCAAAGGTGGCGTGATCGTAGCCGACCAATAGGAGGGCGCCATTCCAATAAAAAAGCAAACCGTGACAGAGGCGACGAAGAATGACGCTCGTAACTGTATATATATTGGTTGTCGAAGGAGAGGTCTGGTCATTTTAGGAGCAGGGGTCAAGTCTTCGCTGGTTGTTTCTCATGACAATATTTGCAGTTGAGGAAGAAGTCTGGTCATTTTAGGAGCAGAGGTCATGACTTAGCTGTTTGTCTCTTATGATGATATTCGTTGTCGAAAGAGAGGTCTGGTCATTTTAGGAGCAGGGTTCAAGTCTTTGCTGGTTCTCTCTTATGATGATATTTGGTAGTTGAGAGAAAGCTCTCGAAATTCTAGGAGCAGGGGTCGAGTCTTGGCTGATTGTTCCCTTATCACGAATGTTTGTTAGTTTCTGGAGAGGTCTGTTCATTAGAGGAGCATGGATCATATCTTGACTGGTGGTCCATTATGACGATATTTGTAGTTCAGGGAATGACTGCGTCATCTGGAACTGCCTTTATATGTAAATATTCTGCCCATTTTATACTCTCTGGGTTCGTGCCTCTACTCTATGCGTGACACTACCGCTGAGATTGCAGAAAGTATCTTCTGCCTTTAGTTTCTAGGCCTAAGTCCTCTTCACCATTTTCCTTCTTCGTTTCACTTTAACGCCGCTTTATGAAACACTTAAAAGTGATACAGAGGTAGAGTAGGTCGTTTTACACACAATATATGACATACACACATAAACAAAACTTAAGGAAGTTGTTTCTTTTAACATGTATTTCGGGACAATAACTCTGAAAGATATTACAGTGACCTTTTTGAATGCACACGAGATAACCAAGTGTGAAAATAAATTGCCTCTTATAAAAAAATCAGACGACCGGCGACATCAAATATAGGAGGAAAGAATCATGCTGACAAACAACATTTGCATAGTCAGTGGTCAAACATATATAAATCAACATATATATATTCTAAAAATATTAATATAGATAACACCTCAGAAATAAATTTGTTTTATAAATAATGTAACCACTGAGCTAAAAAAACATTAAATTGTGAATGGCTAAGGAAATTAACACTTATTTCCTGATTAGAATCACGTGATGGTAGAGAATCTATCAGTAAGCGAATAAAATGTAGACCATACATACATACATAAATACATACATACATACATACATTAAGGAAGTTCCAAAAATGCAATATAACAGCGGTATGGTAGATTAAACTGGCGAAACCGCTGGGAGGGTTCACCACTGATGAGCCAGGCCCTCCCTTTAATTTTTCCATTGCAGTAAGGGCAGTAGAAATTGTTTTATTTTAAAAAGAATATTACGCGTCTAAAATAGTTTTGTAATTTGATAACAGATGGCGCGCAGTGCATCGTAATATAAACATTAAGGCATTATAAACAAGATGCATTAGTACGCCATCTGTTGCCGGAAATTTAAACTAATCGTAAGCGCGCAATATTATTTAAAAAATATATATTTAAATATAATATAACAAATAGCACGCTAATTCGTCCGTTTTATATTAAGTTTAAATAAACAATATTTGTTGTTTGCGGAAAAGCGCAAAACTCGAATCATGTTAATAAATTTATAATCAGTTGTATTTTTACTGTCCTCGAAGCTTATATCCATAGTGTGTCTAAAATACCTTTTCCAAGAGTTAATATTCCGTATCAGTATAAAAAAAAAACAGAAAATACAATAATAGAGCGGTATGATAGATTAAACTGGCGAAACCGCTAGGAGGGCTCACCACTGATGAGCCAGGCCCTCTCATTATTTCTATCAATGAAGCAAGGACAGTAGAAAAATTTAATTGAAAAAGAAGAATACACGCAAAAATATTTATTGTTTGCGGAAGAGCATTGCTAGATGCAAATATTTGAATGTAATTCTACTGTCTTATAAGCTTAGGTCCATAGTTTTCTTGAAAACCATTTCTTAGATTCCATCCTTCAGTGCTGCGTATATAGGCAGAATCTTCCAATACAGTGTTAGAGCTCTGAGAAGCGGTCTGATGGATTAAATTGGCGAAACCGCTGGGAGGGTTCACCACTGATGAGCCAAAAGCCCCCCAATATATTTTTCCATCGCAGTAAGGGCAGTAGAAGTTTGTATTATGTATAAAAGAAACATTCGTGCTTTTAAATCCTTTCATTTTATAAAAATAGTTTAAATATATTCATTCAGATATTATATTATAGAGGCTCGGAGGTATATGTAAAAACCTTTTGTGTTATATACAAAATACAATAAATATTTACAAGTTTTATAGATAATTGAATAGCTCTTTCAATCGGAAATGTTTTTTCCTTAAAAAGATATATTACATTTAAATATGGAATATAAACCTTTGAGAAATCAATATACATATGAAAAGATGGAAAATGTAAGTTATGGAATGATACAATATCGTAAATTGAATTATATATATTCACTCTGATGTTATTTCCTTGGAATTTGATTGGTTACGTCTTTGTGCAACTTGAATAAATGTTTTATTTTTACTTCCAAACGAATATTTCCTTAAGTTACTTGATGTAATATTGAAGGAAATATTAGATTTGAGAAATAAGAGGTATTTTGATATATGTAACGGTTTCCGTATAGGAGAATTATCTATTTCTGGAAAAATATTGAAGAAGTTGTTTATTTTAGCATGTATATCGGGATTCAGACAATAACTCTGAAAGATACACTCATGGACAAAACTTAAGGAAGTTGTACCTTTTAGCATGTATATCGAGATTCAGACAATAACTCTGAAAGATACACTCATGGACAACACTTAAGGAAGTTGTACCTTTTAGCATGTATATCGGGATTCAGACAATAACTCTGAAAGATACACTCATGGACAAAACTTAAGGAAGTTGTACCTTTCAGCATGTATAACGGGATTCAGACAATAACTCTTGAAAGATATTACAGTGACTTTTATTGAAAACACGAGATAACTAAGTGTGAAAACAACTGCCTCTGCCTCCTTAAAAAAAACGACCGGCGACCTCAAAGACCTTTCATTTCCTTAAGTTTTGTTAATGAGTGTATATTTATTCCGATAGTTGGCGCTTTTCTATCATTATTATTCATTCGAGTGGCAAGGGTGAACACGATTTTGTTTAATTCTAAAAATTTATATTGATGTGGGGGAGGGAGGAGTTGGATATAAAATATACAAGATAGCAGAATTAAACTGGCAAAACCGCTTGGAAGGTTTATCAGTGATGAGCTAGGCTCTACTAAAATTTATATAATGGGAATAAGTACAGTATAAAAATTGTTTTACTTTAAGAATAAACGACCGCACATTAAAAATAGTTCATCTCTCCAATTTATTTTACAGATAAATTATTGGAAGTTTTATATATAATATATTGTATTGGAAGCTTTCACGTATTTCTCTTTCTCAACATTATATTGAAGCCTTCATTGAAATTACAGGTTGAGAAATGGCGACATTCAAAAGCTTTCAATACAATATTTATATAAAAACCTTGCGGTAGATTTCTGTAAATATTCCACAATTGCCAATTTTTTTAAAACTTTTTTTTATTAAATTTAGTACACGTGGTATAGGCCATGATAATCATGGTGGGTAATACAGTAGAACTTGGATAATTCGAACTTCTTTAATTCGAAAACCTCTTTAATTCGAATATTTATCTTGGTCCCTAGAATTTCCTATATAAATAATTTAACATCTTTAATTCGAATTTTTGGATAATTCGAATTTTTTTATGGTCCCTTGGGGTTCGAATTATCCAAGTTCGACTGTAGTTCGCGACTGCTTTTACTACAAATACACCACATGTCTTTCTACATGTATAAAAGAAGTTCGATTTTTGCATTTAAAAACGTGGCAGAGAGCCCTGTTTGGTTATAAACTTTACTATTTGTTGGGAGTTTGATTTTTGTAATAATTGGGGACCATTGAAGAAATTCTTATTCAGAAATAAAAAGTGGCCACTGCGGGTTTCGAACCGGTAGTTTTCTATAAATATCCCACAATTGTCAATTTTTAAAAACTTTTTTTTATTATCTTTAAGTACACGTGGTATAAGACCATGATAAATCATGGTGGGTAATAATTCGCGACTGCTTTTACTACAAATACACCACATGACTTTGCGTATAGAAAAGGAGTTTGACTTTTGCACTTAAAAACGTGGCAGAGAGCCCTGTTTGGTTATTTGCACTCATTATTGGGAGTTTGTCTTTTGTATTAATTGGGGACCATTGGAGAAATTCTTATTCAGAAATAAAAAGTGGCCACAGCGGGATTCGAACCCAGGTCGTTTAGTCGGAAATCAATCGTTTACACCACTACACCACCGGCCCTGTAAGACAATAGCAATCATTTCGCTATTAAAGCTATACAACTGGCTGTGGTAATGGAGACTCATTATAAGAACAATGTTGATTATTATCTTAAACTTTAACATTAAAATGACACACACTTATATACATACTTTTTTATTTATTTATTTATAATTAATTAGTTTTTCCATTCTTTGAACAAATAGAAGCTAAATGTAATGTTTTGAAAAACTTCTTTTTTTTTCAAAGCTATTGTTTCAAGAGATAAAACTATTTAACTAAACTAATTTAAACATAAATTTTATCTAATTAATTAGTTCTCCTGATTTTATTTATTTAGCCATTTGTAAATGTAATTACACTTTTCTAATTATAAATATATATAGATATTTCTCTCTATTAATTTTTATACCAAATAATGCTAATTATAATCTACTAGCCGAATGACCCGGGCAACGCCCGTGTTTTACCCGATTGAATGTTTTGATTCAAATACTATTTGTTACAATTATAAATTGGCGCCTTAAATAAATGCATATGTTAGTTAATAACTATAGCCTATGTGCTTTATCTGTCTATATACTGTTGGCTTCCGTAGGCGTCTCTTACTGGGAAAAAGAAAGAGAAGATTCCATTTGGTTATTATCTAATATATGCATTTATTTAGGGAGCGACCCGCTCCAACACAATAGTTACATAAATAGCGAGTGGGAGGGGGGGGGGCAAAGGTGGCGTGACCGTAGCCAACCAATAGGAGGGCGCCATTCCAAAAAAAAAAGCAAACGGTGACAGAGAGAGATTAGGAGATGAAGAATGACGCTCGTAACTGTATATAGAATTCCGTAAAGACAATAATTTGAGAGAGTCAATACCTACTTACTTTTAATTACATAGACACACATGAAAAAACGAAAGAAAAAATGAAAGATAAAAAGATCAGGTGTTGAAATCAATATTAAAAATGGCATATCCTGACCAGGAGCACATGTGCTATACAGAAGACAGAGCGCCATCTGGTGGAACAGAAATCAACTAAACATTGATTTAGCCTGTTCCCTGATATTTGGCCAACCCAATTTCTTGATAAATCAAGAAAAGCCATCCACGAACGCGTTTCGCGCTTTTGGCGCTCGTCAGCGTGGAGTAGGCTGAACCACTGCGACCAAAAACCACCGCTCTGCCTTCTGTAAAGCACAAGTGCTCCTGGTCAGGATATGCCATTTTTAATATTGATTTCAACACCTGATCTTTTTATATATTTTTTTTTCTTTTTTTCATGTGCTAAGCGTATTTACGCAAGTTTGGCCTTAAATACCCATTTCTCAAAATTTTTTTTTGGTCCCAGTGGCTTCTTGAAATGTCGTAACATATTAATCTATTTATATATTTTTTTAATTCAATATATTACTTTTTAATTAAAGATCCGTTTATGAATTATTCTCTATTTCTACACACACATGCAAATATATATATATACATATATATACAAACACCAACAGCGCGAAACGCGTTCGTGGATGACTTTTCTTGATTTATCAAAAAATTGGGTTGGCCAAATATCAGGGAACATGCTAAATCAATGTTTAGTTGATTTATTTTCCACTAGATGGCGTTTTTTTTTTCTACCTTCTGAAAAGCACATGTGCTCTTGATCAGGATATGCCTTTTCTATTTATAATAATTTTAATTATATGTATTTTCAAAGAAAAAATAGCGTTAAAAATCCTTTATATCTATAAAAATGAAATCCAAAATCGATGTTTGTTATCGCGGTTGCGCAAAATCTACAGAATCAATCATTATGATTTTTTTTTTAATGTAAAACCAAAAAGCGTTAGTTCCAGCCTTTCACCGCTTGGCGCAGCACTGGTCGCGACCATAAATGAATTTGATTGGTTAATAATTTTGAACGTAGTTTTTTACACGATGAATTTTTTTAAAAGGTAAGATTATCCAATCGACGTAAAACTTTAGGAAGTTATTTACTATACTACCGGGAAGGTTTCTGGTTTGAATTTGATTTGAAATAAATATTCGTTGCAATTTTATTTGCAAATTTCACTCACAAGCAGCGCCTCTCGCGGAATCTGGTGAAATTACATTCATAAATTGTAAAAATGCTAAAATGTGTTCCAAGTATAATAAATTTAATATTTAATTTGAGGATTTAGTAATATAATATTCCAATGACGTTGTAAAAAACTTGGCATTTAAATATTAATATATATTTAAAGAAAATATATTATTTATAATTTAATGAATGTTTTCAAAATAATTATGTGTTTCAAAAATATATTTATATATATATGTGATGATTTAAGACCATGGAATTGTTGTAAATAGTCTAGATATCTACTACCACATGTTCCACCCCATGACTGTATATAACTTCTTATGTACTGCACATAGAAAGCCTCAACTAACATCAATCTGTACCGCGTAAGAATCTAATAAAGTATAACAACTGTACAGATAGAAGGAATGGAGACTAACAGGAGAAGATTAAGGTTAAAACTAATCAGGCTTAGGTGAGAGTAGAAGTCAAACCTAAGAAGTAGGCCTAGAAGAGAGCCCGACTATTAATAAAGTCACAGTTAACCTTCTGACCCCGGAAACCCTGCGAGCTAAGTTTAAGCCAATATTTCCTGACAGGACCGGACGTATCTGGTGACCGCAAAAGTTATAAAAGTAGAGAGACGCCCAATATTTCCGGAACAAGGCCGGACGTATCTTCCATCAAAGAAAGCCGCAAGGCCAATTAGAGAAGACCATACCTAAGTAGGTCAACCAATAGCCAACGGCCATGTGACATATTCCTACCAATTAGGAAAGAATCACCTAAATAGGTCAGCCAATTAGAAAGAAGCAAGGTCGTGGTGTTAAATCGAGAAGCAAGAATAGTTAGTCTACGCTTGGCTCTCAACAAGGTAACACTTGCTCTAAAGATCTCCCTCTCCCCTCATCCCATTCCTTCTTGACGTCAGACGCTTTTTAGTGGAATCTCTGTTTGTTTATTTCACCTTTGGCCCAGCTGTGTCGCCTTCCACCACGACTGCACGGTAGAGTTGACATCGAGGTTCGTCTAGCATCAGGTAACACTGGTCCCAGAGGTCCCAAGATATCACATATATAAGCAGAGTATATAAGCAGAATGATCCAATACAGTATTAGAACTCTGAAAAAGCGGTCTGGTAGATTAAATTGGCGAAACCGCTGGGAGGGTTCACCACTGATGAGTCAAGCCCACCCAAATTTTTTCATCGCAGTAAGGATAGTAGAAGTTTGTTTTATGTTTAAAAAGAAACATTCATGCTTTACTGATTCTATTTCTTTTATTATACGCAAAATTTAACCAAGTCCTGTTCTTGAAGCTGTTTTTCATATGTATATAACTTTATATAAAATAGATGTAAACATTTTATTTAAATTTAAACTGATTTATATAAAATGCACAACACAAATGTGAAATTCTTATAATATTTGACATAGAAGTATGTGTGCCTATAGTTTTAATAAATTATTTTTTCCAGAAAATGACATTTTTGTGATTTTTGATTAATGACCTGATCACTTTTTTTCAAATTTCCAAATTAGTGGAACCGAATTTCTATTAAAATATGACAGTGTATAAAGTAATTCTACAAACATTAATCATGACAATATTTTTAATATACTTCCGTAATATATTCTGAAATATAATCTTTTCCTTCATAATATAGAAAATTTTATATATTTTTATATTCTACCGATGAAATTTTTATAATTAATTATAATAAATTATCTTTTTCAGCAAATATGTTAATATGTAAATTGACAAGAGTGTGTTAATGAATTTATCAATTAGATACATACAAATTATAAAACTATTTTAGAGGCGTAATATTCTTTTTAAAATAAAAAAATTTCTACTGTCCTTACTGCGATGGAAAAATTAAAGTAGATACATACAGTAGACTCTCCTATAACGCGAGTTTTTACAACGCGATAAAAAAAAATTGCGACAAATTTATTTATACAACGCGAATTTTCGTATAACGCGTTATAAAATAAAATGCGGAAATTTCCATATTGACAACTGTACAATACATTTAATTTTTATGCACACGCGTTTAGGTATTAAATTAGAATTTACATGTAAATATTTTGCCAATATAAAAAATTACGAAACTTGCTCCCCAGGCATGATGAATAAAGTTGGAAAAAAAAAAGAAAAATTGAAAATGGAGATATACTGTATCATGTAAAAATATATTGTATAAAATGATGTATATAGGAAAAATAATTATATACTAAAACAAAACTAAATGTTATATTATTTTATATGCAAATGTATATAAAAAAACAAATATTACGTAGTGAATCAACTTTAATTCCTATAACGCGATTTCATACAACACGAAACACATTAATCGCGTTATAGGAGACTATACTGTATATCAAAATTCGAAACTATTATAGACGCGTAAGATTCTTTTTAAAGATAAACAATTAAAAAACTATTTTAAAAAAGAATCATACGCGTCTATAATAGTTTCGAATTTCTTCTGTGGTGAATCTGTATAAGACCGGTGGTCTTAATAAAGCTTTGTGTATATGTTGCTATTGAAAATCATCGTTTTATTTTCATAATTTATTCTTGAGTTATGACAAAATTTCTAATATGTAATTTAGGAATTTAAGAATTTCTCAGGTTCGACATTTCTGGTTGAGACTTTTGATTGGTTCAGAATTTCACCAAAGTGTACCATGATGCCATGATCAACGAAAGCCGCCCCCTACATCCCATTCCATGAAATCATGGAATGCGTGTAATATTTACACAAGGAGATAAAAAAAACAAGAATATCTAAATTAATAATCCTAATTAAAAAACAAAATTGGCATTTCTTGACCTTTCTCATGAGAATGAGCGTTCAGGAAATGTTAATTTTGTTTTTAATATCAACACCTGGCCATATTTAAATATACAATTAAAAAGCATATATTGGATCAAAATATCATTTATTTGATCAATATTTCA